AACTGGCAGCACGTCTCTTTTCAAAAAAATAACAAATTTTATTGAAAAATTAACTTACAGTCGTAGCCATTGCCGTACTTGTATATTTTATAGAGGACAATTGTGGTCATCGGAATGAAGCAGAACACTACGCCAACAAACTGAAACAAACCACACTGCTCGTTCGTGGCTGAGTGCAAGGGGGAAAAAAGGAAGAGCAGAACGAAGCTGCTAGTGAATAACCGCTCTGCCGTCAAATCTGTAAACAGGCAGCAGTGAGGAGGGGATTCTAATCATTGCAAACAGCTCCAGGGGCTCATATGCACGGGCAAAATTAATGCTTATCTGCTGCATACAGAATGTAAAATATCCCAGTCAAATAGAAATTTTTTGAAATTTGAAAAAAAGCAGGAAATGCCTAAGGGAAAGGTGGGCTTTGCCTAGCGCTGCAAGCACTCCGGATTGCTAATTCGCTCTGCAAAAGCGATACACTCACCTACCTACGGAGGAATGCGCGCACACCAGCAATGCGGTAAAATTTGCCAAATTCACACAAAAAACCGGGAATGCAGGAAATTTACAGTCTTACGCTAATGAATGCGGCTTAATTTTACTCAGTTTTAGCAGGGACAAATCGATGAGGTGCTTAACGGCTTCATACCAGTGCAACTGGGAAGACTTACATGTGCAGGCCAATTGTTCCACAGCCAACGTGGATAGGCACGCGCTACACGTGCCATACGTATCCAACGTGATTTCACCATCCCTGCAACATAGCAACAACAACGATAACCACACAACAATTCTGCGAGATTTCCTCGAAAACAGCCCACATAGGGAAAATTCGACTTCACGGGCCGAGTGAGACAAGGCAAACGAGGTGGAGCACACATACGGACCCATCCTCATCCACGTACACGCCACCATACCAGTCATGAAAGCATGCAGTCGTATCAGAGGACTCGTCTCTTCCGCCACTGCTGCCAGCTAAAAAGATAATTCTTTGATCAAAAAACCCTCCAAATGGCCCCAACAAGCATAGCGAATCTCTCACCCACGCACAATCTACGATAACAGGGGATCACCAAATTCCGGACGACTCCGGCATTTCACGGATGCCCGATGTGTCATCCTCCTCCCCATTCATAGATCAGCAGCTAGAGGTCCCCGGAGGCCGGGTTCTTTTCCAGCGCTCTCTCGAGCCGATAACCTGAAGTAATTTGTCAGCCCGAATTCCACGTGTCCTGGTAGTCTGATGCCCCCTGCATAACTTGGTGACGTTGCGCTTCGGTAACTTGACGATGCAGTAACCGCGTAGTCTGGTTAACCGCGGTCATTTTCTCCCTCCCTCTTCGGCGGCATGATAACTCTTGGCCAGCTGACAGCCCGGTCCCGTTTAGTGTGATGTCTCTGCGCAGCACGTTTCACGTGTCCCGGTGGCATCCTGTTTAACGAGGCCTAGTGGCGTTGGTGTTGCATGTTTCAGTAAATTCGCCGCACGACTGAGAGATGGATCGTTATTGCCAGGTCAACTGAATAACTGTTTGTATGTTAATAAATTATTCACTGACTGGGCTCGGCACTGACAACTCGAATAGAGCAGCAGCAGCAGCATGTCCGGATGCGTATCCTCCACGATGTTGAGCGACGGCGGGGCAGCACTGTGTGGCGGCGATCGCGAACCGAGCTGGCGCAGCTCGTTGCCCGCCTCGATGTCCTGCAGGAATGACGTGAGCATATGGAGTGTGCTGAAGAAGTGCATTGGCAAGGTGAGAAACACTTCTGCACTGCCCTCGCTTCGTCGTAGACTTCCGTCTAAACCCCCAAACGTGCTTAGTGTTCTGTCGATTTCCTGCAGAAGATGGTTTTTGAGTTCATCCCTCACCAGCGGTGATGCATCTGTGCTGGCCCCATCTGTTTAATTTGGTACTTTCGTCAGCTCTTGTTTCTTTTAGGCATTTTTGGGCACTGATGCAGCTGACAGTTCCTCCATTCCCACCTCTTTCGTTCGTATAGTTCCGTGTAGTTTTTCGAACGAATTCTTCCCTGCCTTCATTCAGCATATCCGTTTAGTAATCAGCTTTGTTCATCCGTTGTCTTTTATTCTTGCCACGCAATCAGCCCAACTTCTGCTCTTGCCGTTCTGATAATATCGCTTGCAATAGACTGAAATTGTAGCATTTCATAAGAAATGCTACAGCATTCCAAGGCCCGTTTGGTCAGCATCAACTTTGCCCCTCTTTAGCAAGGAATGGAGTTGTTAGTGCTAATCCAACGGTTTTCACATTCTTGTATTCCATGTTTCACTTCCCTGACTCGGGACTGTTAACAAAATCGAACTGAGTACGATCAGATCCTATGTATATTGATCCCCTCGCTGCTTTTTGGGTTATTTGACCGATAGTGACGTCGTTGTTCAAAAGATTTGAAGACACTGAAGACCAGGAGCTTGGCTCGTTCTAGGTTGTATATTTGAGAAGGGAAGAGCTACTTTCGCTGTGCTTATTCACAGGCTTCAAAGCCAGTCCCCCTGTTGTGCTTATAAATTTTTTTTCTTACGATTTTTTTAATTCTAACGAAGAAAACGAATTGGCCATCCTGCTCGCAGCTTGCTTCTTAGGCAGTCCTGAAAGGATGCCAGTTTTAGCAGCAGTTGCTTTTGCTGCTGTGAAAATCCTCTCGTTTTGCCCACCTTAGTGATTGCTGTACAGAGAGTGTTTTGAAATATTCACGCTAAGACAGGTATATGTTTAGGATTTGACACGAATTAGTGCACCGGTTGTTTT